TTTCCAGTTCATTTCTGCCAAATAATTTTAATAATTCGCTATTCTGTGAAAAAAATGAAGATAACACTCAATTAAAAAGTATAAAATCTTATTTCCAGCTTCCAAATTGGTAAGATTGTTATAATCAAAACCATTTTATTATCTCTTAATGTTTCTAATGTCGACAATTTAAACACTCATTAGTATTAATAGAATGCAATATATGCAATATTATTCGTAATATATAAAGATACCAGCATGTTAGAATTACATCACCAGTCAGTGTTCCAGTAGCGCAGCTACAAAATTTATAATTTTTCCTATTTTTCTTGTATATAAAAGAAGCTTAAAATTTTTTATTCGAATATGTCAAAAAAGTTCTTTTTCGGACAGAACACATAATAGAAAAGTACAATCAAGATGTAGCTGCTTCTAGATTTGTTTATTATATGCCTTATTGAATAGTTTTACGGTGTTTTGTCGAAATTAAAAACATTGTGATTCCTTTTACACTTCCAGGACGGTAAAGGTAAAATAGTATTAGGTACAAAAAATATTAGAATATAATAAGTAATGTTTTTCATTAGTTTATTTTTTTTAATTCAACAAGTAATAAGATGAACAACTATGAACCAGAACTTTTTTTTTAATAAAGATGATACCTACTTACCTATTTACAATTTTTTTCTTAGTTTTTTTCCGGTTTTTCAAACTCAACAATGCAATACATCTGTAAAATACCAAATTCGGTTTAATATACTTTATTATTTTGTCACATTCTATTTTTTACCTTTTTCTAAAACATCTTATCAAATAAAGTACAATTTATAGGTCACGACTGTCACGAGAAGATGGAGGAAACAGGAAACAACAATGACAATTGACAATATGACATTGCCAGAATATTTTTTAATTTAGCACTAGATTGGTATAAATAATTGTACCAGATTTCATAAAAATGTACTAGGATCGGTTTTCCTCTCTGGTTGCCTTAGGAATATTATTAATTGTTTAGGATTTATTAAGTATTGACGGTACTTTTACTAGTTTAACTTACATTAATTACACTGGACCATAGCGGACAATGTACTGAATTTCGTTTCTAGCGTTTAGGATGTACTAGATCCAGTACAATTTTAGTAGATTAGCAAAACTCATTGCCATTTGACATTCGGGGACATCGGAATTGGGTTAGCAATACGTTAAAAAGAGACAGGCAACAAAATCTTGAATGATTAATGCTACAAAACGGAACGTTACTAATTATCCATATCAAAACATAAGACACCGTAATTTTACCAAAAAAAATTACAAACTGCAGCTCGAACAAACTTAATATATAAGTGTTTTCAGTTGAAGCAGATTTTCAATTAGGTTCTTTATAATTCAGCACTTAAGTATTAAAATATACGAAAAAATAACGTAATTATGACGAATTTTAAGTGACGTCTATTCTGTGTCATCAATGCGACGTCAAATACACGTTACTGATTAGGATATTATATTTCGGATAAATTAACACTAAAAAATTACGTCATAATGACGAGTCTGTATTAACGTCTAATTAACGTTGCAAAAACGACGTCAAAGTAACGTCATTAATTGGGATAGTGACGTTTCTGACGAGTAAACCCAAAAAATCACGTCATAATTACGGCACCTTTCTTCTTGGGTTATAGTAGTTGTAAAAATATGCAGTGTGTCTACTTAAGTTGGAACCATATGGAAAACATTTTTATTATTGGTTTTGTGAAAAAATGTATTCTTGATAAAAAGTTCTGCATCGTCCAAAACTTAAAATGCAATCATCAGATATTAATTTTTTTTAAGCTGTATACGAGGTTTACCAACAAATATGAATTTTACTCAAGAGTAAAGCACCTTTATGTTTTATAATACAGAAGAATGTTATGAAGTAAAGTTATTTTGAATTAAAAGTTATATTCAAATTTGAAATTACAGCCATTTAGCATTAAAATTCAGGTTTGGTGATTAATTAATTTATAACTACAAATAATTTATAATGTAAAACGTAAATAATCACCTAACCTGAATTTTCATGCTAAATGACTGTAATTGATATTTGAATATAACTTTTAATTCAAAATAACTTTACTTTATAATGTTCGTCTGTATTGTAAAAAATAAAGTTACTTTACTCTTGTGTAAAATTCATATTTTTAGACAAACTTGGTATACAGCTTAAATAAATTGATATCTGATGGTTGCATTTTAAGTTTTCGACCATGCAGAACTTTTTATCAATACATTTTTTCACAAAACCAATAATAAAAAAGTTTTCCATATGGTTCCAACTTAAGTAGACACACTCACACTGTATATTGATTTTTATAACTTTTATATCAATTGTGAGCCAAGCTTATGGATTTCTTCTAGTGATTTTTTACATATTTTTCTTTGCAAATTTTTTTTGAAAAATCTGAAAATAAAAAGTCGGTAAAAATCATTTTGTGAAAATTCGTTTTTTGGTTAATTTTAACTCATCGTTTGATATGAAAACTAGGCATATCAAGTGCCTAATGTTGATGCTAGATGGCGTAAAGGTATATCTACCGTACAAACTGAGCATGAGAAATGGGTATATCCGGGATTTACCGGCTTTTCATTTAAGTGAGTCACTTAAGTAGTAATAAGCATAAAGCGAACTAAGTGGTCGGCCATATTAAGTTTTTTTCGTCTCCTGTAAAATTCTGATTTTGATTTATACCTAGTTATCATTCTCGCATCCTCAATTACAGATCCTGTGGTTGACGGACTTTGTATTTTTCTCTTTTCTTCATAATCTACTTCCAACCACTTTGAAATATGATAATATTTGGTAATTTATAATTAGTGACAGTTTAGATATGGCAACCGTGTGGCCTGCTGTCATTGACAGGAATATACATATAGAGTTATATAGATAACTCAAAGCGGGACGTTTTGCGAGCGGCCATATTGCTTCGCAAGTGCTCATTAATCAGAATCAGTTTAGCAAAAATGTGTTTTTTAAACAAATTTTCAGCCTTTGAATATAGTAAAAAAATAATTACCTACATTTTTACTTCAAGGCATAAGCTTATGTTTATTTATGAAAACATGGATAATTAATCTCTATAACTATCTATATCGTTGACACTGTCAAATCACCAGACCCACAAGGTTGCCATATAATAACCTGTCAAAACCCACTGACAGCCATTTTGTTTGGAATGCCTAATTAAATTTATTTGGCATAAGCAACTGACATAACAGCAATTGTCAATAATATATCTTTCTTATAGATCACAGCCATCTAAAACAAAAAAAAATGGAAAAATATCACTTCAGATTTATTGTTCTAGGTATATTTTTTTTAATATCTAAGCACATTCCATTAAAAAATAATATATGAAACACAGACGAAAAGAGTGACAAAGATGCAAACTATGAAAGTGACAGTTGCGGACAAGCGTAATTTAGCCATTACGTTCACCGTGTTCGTATTATGGTGGATGAATTTGTATAACTGTTTTCAATTTGAAAAGGATGGTTTGATTCTTATCTGTGCAGAATATGGAACCATTAATAAATCATTAGTATTCTCATATCTTCGCCACTGGCAACGCTACCAAGGAAAAGTTTGTTTATAATATAAGCTCTATCAACAATACTCGCCACTTACGCAATGATTTAGACGAAATAATTACCATTTAGTTTGAAAGAATGAATGAACATAAATATGTATACATTCGATGTGTCGAAGTCGGTAAATTATAGTTCGCGAGCGTCATAATATTCTCTATAGGAAATGCATACTATAAATACATCTAATTTGTATGATAAATGTAAGTGTACCTAATGTTTAATTTTACCGTACTAAAGCGCTCTTGGGATATAGACTACAATGCATTTATCCATATGTAGAACAACAATTATTAGATACAGGGTGTTAGTATATCGACCGACGACGGTCTACCCTAGAGAGCTCTCATTAATTGATGAATTTTAATACAGTAACTGTTTAGTTACCGAGATACAGGGTGTTAAAACTTTGAAACCCAAATTTAAAATTTGCCATACATCAAAAACGCCTTTAAATATTAATTTCAAATTTGGTGACCAATATGCTCTTTAATAAAGTAATATTTTGACATAAACTTCACTTTTTATGGAGCTAAAATGAACAGTGTCACAGAAATTTGCTTTTAAACAAAAGTATATATATTCTTAATCACTTTTAGAGACTCAATATTTTTAAATTCTAATCTAGTAAACACGTGTCAAATTTTTTATAGATTTGTGTTTTTGACAAGATCTTGGTAGATCAAATTTGAAAAAAATATTTTAAGACGTTTTTGTTTTATGGTAAATTTTGAATTTTGATTTAAAATTTTTAACATCCTGTATCCCAGTACCTAACTAAAATCTTTAGGATTCCATGTTCCTATATCAAAATTCATCAATTAACTAGAGCTCTCTGTGATGGAGCATTGTCGATCGAACACCCTGTATAAGCTTGTCTTCTAGAAGTATTGTATTAGCTAATGGGATATCATCTATTATGAAATAAGTGAATATATTACAATAGCTGGGTAAATTGAGGGTACAAATTTTGACTTTATTAAACGGTTATTAGTTAAGGACAGCTTTAAATGGACCGTGATGATGTGACGCCTTTTTTTTTCTAAACAGCAAAGTAAAAATGACATCGGGCTGTCAATATTGTTACAGTTGTCAAAACTTTAAATGCAATTGTGTATTTTGTTTCATTTAAATTTACCGAATTTATCTAATTTTATTGCCTTGTATTCTTTTGTGCAAGAATAAATTTTTCTCAAAAATCAATAATAAAAAAGTTTTCCATATAATGCAGTCGTTTTGAGATACGCTGTACATGTAAATGGCATCGAGAAAGAGTTTTTGTAACAAGATCCATCAATCAATATTTTTATTTATTTTTTATACGAATTACTACTCCGGAACAATTTCTGTTTATCCCGAAAAAAATTGTAAATTCACAATGACATTTTTTGTTTCAGGCATGTCTGGAGTGACTTTGGCGGGTGGTGGATCTACTACCACCTTGGGTTCTGGAAACCCTGGTGCAGTCGAACTCACGGATGCTGCTGGAGGTAGAGCCCTCAAACTCCAAACGGACACTCCACACTTGGTTAGCATAGGCGGCGACAGACTGAGTACTTCGGTAACTTTACACCCTATTCCTCAAGGTGAGTCAAAATGATAAAAACAATTGCACTACAAGCGCAGAACTGATAAAGTTCGCGGCATCGATTAATCCTTGTATTGGCTTGTATTACCAGCGTTCGGCAATTTTCATATTCATTAAATTTGACGTTTTTAACCTATAATTCAGTTGACAGTTAGCTTTTAAACCGACTAGTTAATTCATTCATTCCAACTCAATACTAAAACTGCAAAAATCAATTAGTCAACGTTCATATATTTATCTAGCTCCGAAATTTTCAAAACATTCAATCTATAAAAAATGTATTACGGTTCAAATCATTTATGTTTGAAGAAGATTCCATGATTTTGAGTTGAAATATTTATAATCTACCTTTTGATGTTTTGATTTGGTAAATTGAAGCCTAACAAATAGAGTGAGGATCTTGTAAAACACAGGTAAGGAAGCGCCACAGAATCTTTTAATCCCTTTGCAGAAATTTTCCAAGAGTCTTTATGAAGGTATATTTTAATCACATAGCGGATACAGATCGAATTTTATTTATTTACACTAGTACGCATTTACTTTATAAACTTATAATATACTAATTTATATCACATGCCTTTGCCATTTATTAGACTGTCTCTAGATGCTTCCGGTAAGTTCTAGAATATTCCAGACCAGCGTGTCTTCCAAATTCTAGAACTCAATGGTTCGCGATTATTTAGATGACTAAACATAGTCGTTCGACATGAGGGGTTTCTAAAGTTTATTCACTTCATTAAATATTCATGGCACCGGGAAAGTAGAGGCTGTAAAAGTCCCAAATAAGGCAGAGCAGTACCGGACTGGTCGAAAAAATTAGAGCCTAGACCCGATATATAACTTTGCTAAGAGAACGAAATTAAATTATTTTTAATTGTGAGTAATAAAAACTAAAGGGTTGACCATCTTATAATTTTGTTTGCTGCCAGTTAATTTTTATTGATTCCAAATCTTCAAAATGTTTTAACCTACCGCTCTCAGGTACCTTCATAATTAATTAATTCCATTTTATTAAAGAAGATATTGCATTCTTATTAAATTCAAATACTTCATTTAATGAAAAATCTCCCAGTTAATTAAATCTTATTTACGATACCTAATAAATAATATCTATAACCCTGTCCGTAAGAGATCCAATTTTATTGCACGTGTCTGGGAACCCAATCCGAAACTACCATACAACATAAATATAAATAATCATTGAAACATTTAACGCACTTATCTTAAGTCAAGTTTGGATAGTAACATTGTTTTCGATACACAAATTTGTTCTCACCAGAGTTACGACAAGTTGACGTCACAAAAAGTCATTAAATCGGGTATAAAGATTAGATCCCGGGGACTCATTAAGATACATTAAGAAATTAAACTCTTCAAATCTAGTATATTTCGAGTTCAGTATTCAGTACCTTTCCTAAACCGACGCAGTTCCTACCCTATCTCCTATCGACACAGCTACGTCGCGACGACCTATCTCCCGACGTCATCTTTCCTATCCGACGCTCTACGTTTCTATGCCCTATATCCCATTTAATGCTCTACGTCCATACTTCACTACCTTCAATATTTCCACGTATCAACAACAATATAAAAACGTCAGAAATAGATGGTGAATCAATAATTAAAAAAGTTTTATTTTTGTTTAATTCGTTATTATAGAAATGTATTGTTCATTAACGTCACATTTGAGCCGCTAGATAGACACGGCCCAGTATGCATTTGTTGTTTTATTATACCAGCCTAAAACTATTTATAAATTTGGTCTACCAAAGTGCCAATGCACCCTGGCTAATAGCTACTAAATAACAGCTGATTGGAGTAAATGACACTTCGGACGACTAGACTCATATCTTACACAAATATGCTTGATGTCACAGCAGGGTTGGACTATCTTGAATAAGTATCTCTCAATCTTCGCACCGTAGGTAGATTTGAACACAAGGGGTAGTTCGCTGGTATTGATCCGGCTCCATTCTAGTAGGACTACACTACATTACCCCCCTCCCTAGGTAAGGCTGAAACATAAGGGATATCCGTATGTTATTGTAACGACTGTATCTCAGTAAGCGCACCTATATAAAAAAGAAACGACGAAACAAATAATTATTAAAGATAGTGCAATTCTGAGGACAGAACACTTTATTTATAATTTATTTATAACGTTTGCAACAAATGTTTTCTTTTTGAGCTCAAGATATTTACTTCCTTTATATAACTTAAGGCATTTTAACTTTTTAAATAATTTTTTGTTTGTTAAAAACTAATATTATTACGTCAGATTCATGTCCATATAAAATTAAGTAGTTAAAGAGTATAAATGCTTGGTATTTAATGAGTATAAATGCTTGGTAACCTTAATTAGTGAACTCGCTTTTATCGACAATATTATTTATGTCAATAATATACATATAATAGTTATTTCATTAACAATTAAATATTAGATTGACCTCTTGTGTCTCTACAATCTATAAAATGCAATCTAGTTATTTAATAGTAAACTCATAATTTTTTTATTATAAATAGAACTTCCTGTTTATCTATAGAGGGTATTTTAATTTTAAAATTGATACTAAAATAATCCGAAAAATATTAACAAAACTATTGTGATGCGTAATATTTATTCCATAGATTATTTTTTTACTGGTGTTTATTATACACTAAACATGACTCAGTTTTGCGGTGAGACATGAAAGCAATGGATACAAAAGAATATGCTCGTAAATAAAATTTTAGTGGTTAACTTTTAATAAAATGATTTTATTTTTGAAATATGTGACTCAGAGTAGATCATTTTCATAGTAATAATTTTCATACTACCTACCTATAAAAATAAATATCTTTGTCTATATTTTCATTTGATAGATATTTATATAAATTAATTATGATGAAAATATTATTCGATTTATGCTATTGTAGAACAGTACATTATTTTCCTAGTATAAGAATATTATTATTTTTTACCAGTTACTATCTATAGACTAGTAAAATAATAAATAACCTTCGAATCAGAAGAACATAGTCTTCAAAATACCCGTACCCCACGTGACTAAATTGATGACATCAGTTGGCTTCACGTATGTCGAATGAACAATAATTATTCTTCTTCTTTTTAAGTATGATAATGATGAGACGCTTTATTGTAGTCGTAAGAGGCATACATAGTAACTTGATTTAACTACGCCCTTTCGATAGGCAAGGAGGGGATATTGTGGTACGCAGTTGTTCTATTTCTGTCTATTCAATAACACTTTTTTTCTATACCGTCCTCCTGAGACATTATTGGAAAGTTAACGTACTGTATACTTATGTAATAGAGCACTTTTGAAAACACTGTGCAGAGGCTTAGGACATTTTTCAGTCAGCAATTGCCCATAAGTAGGTATATAGTTTATTTTGAAAATTCGGAAACAAACATTCAAAAATCCCCCTACGAATTATTAAGACCATCTCCGAACCCCAAAGGTGAAAACAAATACTTGGAGATTTGAAAAAAGCCTGTCACAGCCTGGGATCGAACCCAGGCATTTTTGTTCTCTACACAAATGCCCTAATAAACAGCAATTTAATGTACTAGTTCGGGACAAAATTATTCAACTTATTTCAGATAATAAGTGAATTTCAATTTGCGATCTACGATATATTAGCTTTGTTCGCGGTAAGAATCCTGAACCGAATTATTACTAACAGTAACGATTTTGCAGGCGCAGTAGTTAAAAAGCGTTCGCGGAACAAAAAGAACTGAACTATTGGTTCTATCCCGCGTTCGCGGTAAAATAATTATTGGTTTTGAACTAGACATGGGTAACGCAGCGCTGCGTTGCGTTATTGCGTTAACGCAGTTGTATGCGTTACAGGCGTTGATACACCAGCTGTTACTGTATCAGCGCAACGCAATTTTCGGTACTGAGTCGAAAGGATCGCGAGTTGTTGGTGCGCCATGCGCCAGGCACTGATTCAGTTTTCCGTGACGAGTTGAGAATTTTAATTTACGTAATTGATGCAACTCGTAATGCAGATTACTCAAAATCTATCAAGTAATTATGTTCTTTGCAACATGTCACACCATTTGTAGGATATTGTAGGTCGAATTTTTTGGAATTTAACCTTGTACACTGTCAGTTTTCAGTTCTTCCCATTTTGATTGGGTACTAGTACTAGTATACAAAAGTTATATCCTTTTTATATAAATTGGAATTTTTGTATTCTTTGTAAAATCCGAACACAATGAAATAAAAAAATGTTATATTTTCGTTTATTTTTAAACATAGGTATAATTAAAAAAATTTAGTTAAATTCCCAATTGCGTTATTGCCTTGAACACGGTTTGACCCTTATAAAAGGACAACCAGGGTTACCAGGTTTTTGAAAGAGATGACGGACAGACAGGGGAAATAGGGGGAAGTAAACACAACTCGGTCTATTTTTACTCTTTTAATCAAAATTACTTATTTTGCAAGAAATCCTTACCTAAGTTTGGTAAAGATACACTGAGGTGATTTTACAAATAATAAGGTGAAAATGTAAAGTTAGAAAATCGAGAAATCGCAAATCGAAATCCAAAGTCAGAAAACATTTTCACCTTATTATTTGAAACACCTCAGTCTATCTTTACCAAAAAATAGGTACGAATTTTTTACAAAATAAGTAATTTTGATTAAAAAAATGAAAATAGACACAGTAGTTTTTACTTCCGCCTATTTCCCCTAAAATTCCCTGTCTGTCAATCATCTCTTTCAAAAACCTGGTAACCCTGAGGACAACCCGCGCTGAATAACACCGGTATCATGCGATACACCGAGGTGCATCGACTTCATTCGGCGCAGGCAGTGGTGTGACGCAATAACGCAATTGCGTTAACGCAATGAGTTGGCGCAATAGAGTGCGCCAGAGTTAGTGTATCAACGCAAAGAATTTTAGTGCGTTACCCATGTCTATTTTGAACCGCTTGTCTATACCTGAAACACCGAGATATAATAGGGATTGCGCGCGCGGTAAAAA